GAGAATCTTGTCGCTGAACTCAATCAGGCTTTGGACCACCTTCCGAATGGGGTACCAGCAACTTGGTTGAGTTCAATGCCAAGAAAACTCAGGCCTGCGCTTTCACGGCAAAAACATCGCCATTCCTTCCCCTTCCCTCTCATCAGGGCACAACACTGGCGCTACAGAGCAACATTATCATGCTCGATATGGAAATTCGCTCAGACCTGAATCCAAAGGACTACATCAAAACCGTGATCAAAACAGCTTCACGCAAACTCGGAGTCCTTAACAAGGTGCGGCGTTTTTTCACGCCCGATCAACTGTGCTTGTTGTACAAAACGCAAGTGCGGTCCTGCGTGGAATATTGCTCGCACCTCTGGGATGGCTCCACTAAGTACTTACTCGACGCCTTGGATAGGTTGCAGCGGCGCGCTGTCCGCATCATTGGCGATGAAGAGGTAACCAAGAAACTGGAGTCTCTACAATTACGCCACGATGTGGCATCATTAAGCGCATTCTACCGACTATACCACGGCGAGTGGTCTTAGGAGTTATTCTCCCTTATCCCTCCACCACCTTTTCTTCAGAGGACCACGCGCTACTGGCCTACGTTGCCACCGACATACTGTGGCCACTATTCCTACACGAACAAAGAAATTTAGTGACTCATTTCTTTGTCGTACTATTCGTAAGTGGAATTCTTTACCCGCACAAGTGTTTCCGCCTTCCTATAATCTGGGGTCCTTTAAGAGAGGCGTGAAGAAGCATTTTTACAGGCCGGCAAGGTGCCCGTGGCAGTGTGGCTGGGTCTGCTATCGGGCGCGTCCTCTCGGGTGGTGGATGGGAGGTACCGGCTTCGGCCGGCGTGGACCATACCTAGCTGTGGAGACCTGGCTGGCGTCCTGGGTATCCCGGGTAGCGGCAGTCGGGTCAAACTCGTAACCCTGCACATAGTGCGGGGCCGAGGGCCGCCGTCTGCAAAGAAACTGTTTCCTTTGGAGGCGGGGGCTGCGAGGAAGACAACCTCTCTAAAAAATTACCCGGTGGTGGTCTCGGCTGGCACCCTGGGTATCCCGGGTAGAGGCAGTCGAGTCAAGCTCGTAACCCTGCACATAGTGCGGGGCCGAGGGCCGCCGCCTGCAAAGGAACTGTTTCCTTTGGAGGCGGGGTCTGCGAGGAAGACAACCTCTCTAAAAAATCACCCGAGGGGTCTCTCGGCCGGCGCCATGGGTAGCCCGGGTAGCGGTGGTCGAGACTCCATAGGTTGAGGCGGAAACGCCATTGGTGAGGGCGGTTGCGGCGCGAACTCCGCGTCGCTTCCGGCCAACCCGTAACCCTGCACGTGGTGTGGGGCCGGGGGCCGCCGTCCTTCGGGGCGGGGGCTACAAGGAAGAAAACCTTTTCAAAAATTACCTTTTGATGAGGCCAGGTAGGGTTGCCTCGCCCGGAAGAGGGAAAAACTATGAGAAATGTCGTCCTTTGTTAGTATTATGTCATGCGCTCCCGTTGACGCCGGGCGCTCTGGGGTAGCTGGGCCCCAGGGTGAGAAGTTGGTAACTAGCGGCTTATGCGCTCCGGCTGGCCACTGGAGAGGCGGCGGGGACGAGGAGGATGGGGTGGATGCAAGACCGATGCCCCCCAAGGTGAGCAAGATAGATGAAGATGATGGTTCCCCGTCCTGTGGAGCTCATACCAGGAGGAGAAGTAATCCTTTGGGAGGACGTGGACAAATTGACAGTTCGCGGAAGCAATCGGCACGCGCCTAGACGGGAGAATTGATGATGGCGAACGCTCTGGCAGATCTAATATTCTTCAACCGACACGCGAGGCGAGGTGGTTCCTGGAGGTGGCCACACGGAAGTTGAAGGCGATGGAAAAGTTATAGCAGGAGAACCTCACCCTCAGAGAGGAGAACCGCAAGTTAAAGGCCGAGATTGACACCAGGCGAAGAGAGCTGGTGTGTCTGAAAAGGGATAAAAAAGGGAGGAAAAAGCCCACCATGTACCCCCTCCAACCACACAATTGGAGCCACTGGAGGCCGTTGAGGAGCTGAAACGCTCCCTTATGATATCCATAGGGGAGATGGTTAGCACTCGGCTGGCCTCCTTAGAGGAGAGGCTCCCGCCGCCGAAAAGGCTTAGACCGCCGTTAGCGGCGGACCGGCGGGAGGCGGAGAGCTCGAAGAGGGAAGAATCGGCGGACCAGGCGGAAAAGTGGAGTACGGTAGTCGGGAGAGGGAAGAGGAAGGCGAGGACTACAGTCGCTGACACCGAGTCTGTGAGGAAGAAGAGGGAGCCCACGAAGGGTAAAAGTGGACCAGCTCCCAAGAAGGCGGTGGGGCCTAAAATAAAGGTTCCGAACACGGCGGCGGTTGAGGTGCGGTTGAAGCCTAGGGCGGAGGAGCTAGGCCTTACCTACAGCAGCATCGTGGTGATGGCGCGAGCGGCCATTGAACTGTCGTCCGTTGGTATTGAGGAGGGCCTGGTCACAAAGACCAGCCAGACGGGGTCCAGGCTACTACTAGTCTCGGGCCCAGATAGCAGGTCGAAGGCGGACGCCCTAGCCAGGCGTATGGGCGAAGTAGTGGGCGACTACGCTGAAGTCGGTAGGCCCGAGAAAACTGAGGAGATGAGGGTGTCAGGGCTGGACGAGTCAGTCACCCTGGAGGAGGTCGTGGAGGCGTTAGCCAAGAAAGGGGACTGCTCCACCAGTGAGGTGACCGCGGGGAAAGTGCACCTGGGACAGGGAGGTATGGGGGTGACACTTGTCAGGTGTCCCGCATGGGCCGCAAGGAAAGTGGCGGAAGGAGAAAAAATAAAGGTGGGCTGGAGCCTGGCAAAGGTGACAGACCTCAGCCGGCGCGTGCACTGCTTCCGGTGTATGGGAAGGGGGCACGCGGCGGCACGATGCCCGGCGACGGAAGACCGGAGCATTTTGTGCTTCCGGTGTGGGAAAACGGGGCACAGGGCGGCGGTATGCGCTGCTCCACCCCGTTGCGCGGTATGCGCGGAGAGTGGCCGGCCATCGGGCCACGTAATGAGGAGTGGGAGGTGTGACCCGCCGGTCACCAAAGGAAAACCTCCCGAGCGAGTGGCCTCTGAGGCGGCGCCCGGACGGACGCCCTCAGAGGGGGGGATGTCTGAGTAGCCTCGGCCGCTCGGACCCCCCCACGAATGTTGTCGCCAGCGTTTCCCTCCTCTTCTCCTAGGAGAAGACGCTAGGAGATATGGGCGACCGGGAGAGGGGAGAGGGACGGGAAGAATTACGCTTCCCCTCCCGTTCCCCCCTCTCAGGAACGGCGGCCCCCCTCTTGTAGTTTTGTCCTACAAGGCGGGGGGGCGGCAGCGGGCTACTTGGACGGGTACACTCAAGAAGCCCTCCGCAACGGACGGGGGGGGGGGGGGGGGTACGGTGGGCACTAGGCCGCGTAGCTGCTGGGTGCGGTGATGAGGAGACATTTCTCACCAGGGGATCCCGCGGCTCCGCATCAAGCAGTGTTGAAGGTATTCGCAGGACTTTTTTAGTGGATATTATGCTGTAAAGCGCCCGTAAGAGTTGCGGGGTCCTCGGTGTGCCTCTTAAAGGCGCCGTCGTCTGTAAAAAGATTTTTTACCTGCGTAATAAAAAAAAAGGCCGGCAAGGTGAAGATGATTGGTGTAGCAGTTTATTACTGCTGTACCAGCTATCTTCGCGTTTGGACTTTATTACCACTTTACATCAGGTGGGGTAGAGTCATTTGCCTACCTCTATATATATAAAAAAAACTCTTTTTTGGTTTTTCAATGGTTTTCAAGTTTCTTTTTTTATACTAAGTTTGGAATAGTATGTCGAGAAATGAATTGGCACGCGCAAATAAATTAAAAATAAAAGTAGGAGAATAAAATAAGTTTGTTTGATAAATTCGGCACCATGAAGGTAGAAGTAAATAGGTTTAATGATGTTTTGAATCCCCAAACTTATTTCACACGATATTCTAAATTAAATTTACTTTTTCCGCTAGCGGATAAAAACGGCTTTTGCACTCATATGCACATTTTGCTCTTCGATAGCAAAATACTGTTTCTGAATGTGTGGATGGAAATTAGCTAATAAATTCGTACATAGACAACAACATTTTTAATAATCGTTCAAAGTATCCGAACGCCCAATAAAAGTCTTTTGAAGGTAGCTCGACAAAAGTTATTAATTTATGATTAAACGAACTTACCCTAAGTGAAGTTCTATCATAATTATACGGAGCGCCTCGTTCAAAGAGATTAGTAATTATATTATTATTTTACACATGGTAGTATCGCATAGATGTCACTACTCCGGCACTATATTGAGATTTCCTTTGTCTGTATGTAGTTTTTTTTTTCTCATTTGTGAGGGTGTCACTAATCTTACTTGTCTACGCCTTTGTTCGGCTCCTTCATTTAGTTTAGAGACAGTACATACGTTTTTTATTGATATGTCTAGATAGTTAGTTAAATAAAGGAGAGATTAGTAACGGGATTTAAACCTTTGTTCGGGTGGGTGGGAGTTACTAATCTCTTCGAACGAGGCGCTTCGTATAATTATGATAGAACTTCACTTAGGGTAAGTTCGTTTAATCATAAATTATACTTCGCGCCTCGTTTCTCGAGATTAGTAATTATATTATTATTTTACACATGGTAGACTTTGAGAGTAAGTTACGCAGGAAACGTGTTCAATAAAAACGGTACCTTTTTAGGTTGAATCCTTTATATGAAATAAAAAAATTAACAGAAACAAAGTTTTAAATTAAAAGTAAATTGATGTTAATCTAACTAGATTGTAATTGTTCTTATAATAATCAAGATTGTTTATGTCGTCAGATACTGTGTTACTTTAATCACCAATAACAGACTGCGCTAATAATATGCTGTCACTATTTGCAATAGTTCGGTTATAGAATTTTGCGAACACAGTGGAGTTGCCACTCCAGCTCACAGTATTGCGAATGGCGGTTACGCTGACGCCCTGCGCGTGCGCGCGGGACGTGCTATCGTGTCTGGTGCTGTGCGCGGAAAAAATCGACGTGTCGACTCCGCATACGCTTAGTGTGCTCTTTATCCAGCGGCTAAGCGTCTGCGTGCTGACAGTTTTGTGTGGTTTTTTGATGCCTATAAACAGAATGTCAGATTTTCTTAATTGGTTTGTTTTATCAATATAACTTATCAAGGTTTTTGCGGGGCATATGTTAGGTTTATTGTTAAAGAAAGGTAAATACAATGTGGGCTGCTTACAGCCTGGTTTCGAAGTTTTAATTAAGTCGCTATGATTTTTAAATGTATTTTTGTTATGATTTGCATTCTATGACCTGTTGTTAATGCTAATAAAGTAACAGTTTTCTTAGTCAATTGATCCAACGATAGTTCTTCATTGGCCTAACTGATCTAAAACACAATTCGTATCCCAGGTTATATTATATTTTGGTAGCGGTGGTCTGAGACGATATACACCCTTTAAGAATCTCTGAATTCTGGCGTCTTGACTTAAGTGTGAACCTATAAGGAGTGATAAGGCCGACCTGCATGAATTTAAAGAACCGTAATTGCAGCCGTCATTATATAACTCGGTGAAAAAATAAATTACGTTGGGCACTGAGGCAGAGATGTCGATAGAGTTCTTTTTGCAAAAAAGCTACCATTTCTTTAGATAAACGTCATATTGGCTGAGGGAACTAGAGGACAACGAGGCCAGCATTATATCTAAAGAGAATGTTGGTATGCTCCTCCTTGATAATGCGTTCCGGATATGAGTGCTGCCACCAGGGTAATCGACTTGTGGATCCGCCGAGAACTGCAATGGGAAATTATAGCATTTATATGCGGAGGAAATGTTATTATTTTTGAAATTACGAGGCTCTGGTATATCGGATACCATGGCTGTGTAGGCCATAGAGGGACAACTATAGTCCCAAATTATCTTCCTAAGAGTTTTCAATATAATTGAAAAAGGTGGAAACGCATAGAAATTTAAATCTGTTCAATCGATGGTAAAAGCGTCAATAGCTACAGCGTCGGGATCTCGGTGCCACGAGAAGTAGTTTTTACACTTTTTATTAATACGACTCGCGAATAAATCAATTGTAGGAGCCCCAAATGTACATGCCAGATATTCAAAAGCCCAGGGGGCTAATTCCTTCTCAATATCGGGATGGACTTTGCTTGACTCTGTGTCTGCTATAACGTTGTCGCGCGATTTAATATAAGACGCGCAAATGAACACCTTGCGTTATTTCACACCACTGCCAAATTTCTCTAGTTATTTGTGTAAGTTGGGGAAATTGAACGCGGCCCATTCGATTTATATACGAGATTGCAGTTGTATTATTGATGCGTAGCAAAATTTGGCAATGATGTAAATCTTTTGCGAATATTTTTAAAGCTATAAATGCCACTGAAGTTCAAGGTGGTTTATATGTTTATATTGCTCTTCACAAGACCACTGCCCATTAGCTGTTTTTCCATTACAAGCCGCATCCCATCCCGTAGTTGAGGCGTCAGAGAAAATTTCAGTGTGAAATGAGTCGTTTCTAATACATCACGATTGGTTTACGTTACTTAGCCGCCACTGAATGTCTGAGTGAAGTGCAGTGGGTATATTGATTATTTTATCGTAATCATTATTATTTTACAAATTTAAGAATTTATACCTTTCGAACTGTTTCGTGTAAAGCAACCCATAATCCACAGCTGGACATATGGATACTAAGGAACCAACAATATGAGCGAAATCCCTAACACTGCAATACTGTAGTTTTAAGAACATTTTCAATGCTTCGGAAATACGTGCCCTTTTTTCAAGAGGTAAGCTTATATTTAATTTATTTGAGTTTAAAATCATTCTTAAAAATTTATACGTCATAGAAGGTTTCAGAACACTTTTCTCATAGTTAATAATAAAACCTAGTGAAACTAAAAGCTTTTTTGTGATATGTAAATTAGACAAACATTGCTGGTATGACAGGCCTAACAAAAGCCAGTCGTCTAAATAATGAGTAGAGAGCAAGCCTGCTGTTCGTAATTTTTACTATAGGTTTTGTTATCTTTGAGAAAACATAAGGTGCAGTATTGAGACCGAATGGCAAGACGTTAAATTGGTATAATTTTTGGTTATAAATAAAGCGAAGGTACTTTAGAAAATCTTCGTGTATTTTTAATTAAAAAATAGGCGTCCTTCAGGTCAATGGTTGCCATATAACAATTTTTAGTAATAAGTTTAACGGCGGTTCTCAAGTCTTCTAATTTAAAATGATCTATATTAATGAATATGTTCAATGCTTTAAGATTCAGTATGAACCGCATCTTACCATTCGGTTTCGGCCTAAGAAAGACATTCGAAATGAATTGATTGTCGCAGGGTTCGCATTCTGATATAGCACCTATAAGTAATAAATGATTTATGGCTTCACAGAAGTGTATATTTTCTATATTATTTCGCTCTGAAGAGAGTGGGATTGAACTCTGAGTCGGAGGACTCGAAAAGGGGATTTTATATCCATCTATCCAAGAAAGGATCGTAAGATCTTAGTGATAATTGACTATTGTTCCCGAATGAAAAGCAGTCTGCCAGCGTACTTAACTGTATTTAGTAGCGGTGGCGGCCTGCCGCTGGTGGTGGCGGCGGCAGATGATGCTGCTGCTGACGCGGCCACTGCCTCGATGAGCGCGCGAGCGGCGGCGGGGGAGGTAGGCGGCGGTCTGCAGGCTCGTAGCTCCTCTGAGATGGGCCTACAGGCAGCCGTACGCCGAACCCGGAGCTTTCCGGTTTAAATGATTCTGGAGGGGTATTTTCGACCTTTTGGGTAGGTTTTTTGCAGGTGGGTTTCAATTCCCGTGGCAGTGTGGCTGGGTCTGCTATCGGGCGCGTCCTCTCGGGTGGCGGATGGGAGGCACCGGCTTCGGCCGGCGTGGACCATACCCAGCTGTGAAGACCTGGCTGGCGTCCTGGGTATCCCGGGTAGCGGCAGTCGGGTCAAACTCGTAACCCTGCACATAGTGTGGGGCCGAGGGCCGCCGTCTGCAAAGGAACTGTTTCGTTTGGAGGCGGGGGCTGCGAGGAAGACAACCTCTCTAAAAAATTACCCGGTGGTGGTCTCGGCTGGCGCCCTGGGTATCCCGGGTAGCGGCAGTCGAGTCAAGCTCGTAACCCTGCATATAGTGCAGGGCCGAGGGCCGCCGCCTGCAAAGGAACTGTTTCCTTTGGAGGCGGGGGCTGCGAGGAAGACAACCTCTTTAAAAAATCACCCGATGGGTCTCTCGGCCGGCACCCTGGGTAGCCGGGTAGCGGTGGTCGAGACTCCATAGGTTGAGGCGGAAACGCCATTGGTGAGGGCGGTTGCGGCGCGAACTCCGCGTCGCTTCCGGCCAACCCGTAACCCCGCACGTGGTGTGGGGCCGGGGGCCGCCGTCCTTCGGGGCGGGGGCTGCAAGGAAGAAAACCTTTTCAAAAATCACCTTTGAAGAAGGCCAGGTAGGGTTCCCTCGCCCGGAAGAGGGAAAATCGTATGAAAATGTTGGACAATGCGTGTTATTTGTCCTGCGATCCCGCTGACACCGGGCGCCCTGGGGAAGCTCCTACCCAGGGTGTGAAATTTGCTAGCAGCGGCCTATGCGCTCCGGTTGGCCACCGGCGCCAGGGGGATTCCGGTACCCCTGGTGTTAAATTAGTTACCGAGGAGTTTGGAGCAGAGGTCTTGAGACTGAGGGGCGGAGTGGATGAGGGCGAGGATATAACGCCTTCCCCCGCCAAAGTACATACGGCCCGTCGAGGCATGAGAAGCGCGGCGGCTTCCACTAGACCGATGGAAATAAGTGGTAAGCCAGAACCACCGACCATGGACGACGACGAGGAGGAGAAAGATAATCGCTCATGGAAGGAGGTGAGCGATGATACCATGGACATCATACAGGGCGTGGTAAAGGCGGTAAACGAGGCCAAGGATGCCAAAGAGCTGAAAAAGCCTCGGTATGTCAGGATTTTTGACAACCTTGAGGCTTTGGAGGCGAGCCTGGTTTGCATATTCAGCAGGGCTAGCGTGGAAGGCTCCTATGTGGAGAGAGCTCGCCGGTACCGTGTTGAGAGGGATCGGTGCAGGGAGAGATTGGAGGATGCGGACGCTGAAGTGAGTCGGCTCCGCGCGGAGAACTCCTCTCTGGCGGGGGAGGTGGAGGAGCTGCGCAGGGAGGTGCGGGTCCTCCACGAAAAGGTGATGGGCAAGGACAGGACCAACGGACCGGAGTGGAAAGAGGCCGTCGAGGAGCTGAAGCGCTCCCTTATGATTTCAATAGGGGAGATGGTCAGCACTCGGCTGGCCTCTCTGGAAGGAAGACTGCCCCCGCCGGAGCGGATCAGACCGCCCCTAGCGGCGGACCGGTGTGGTCTGAAGACAGGGACGTCTGCAGAGGTGGAGACCTGGAGCGTGGTGGCCAGGAAGAAGGCCAAGAAGAAGGGTGCGGGCCCTGGGGTGGCTCCGGTGCCAGAGGTGACGAGGGCGCAGGCGCCAGCGCAGAAAGCGACAGAGCGGAAGAAGCCACTGCGACCGGAGGGCGGGAAGCCGAAAGCCGAATGAGGGTACCGAACACCGCGGCTGTGACCCTGAGTAACGCCGGCCGCGAAAGAGGGAGGGGTCACCTACGCCAAGATGTTGGAGATGGCCAGGAGGAAGATGAGGCTACAGGAAGTGGGCATAGAGGGAGGGCTTAAGATCCGGGAAAGCCGGGTGGGGACCAAACTCCTGGTGGTCCCAGGCCCGGACAGCCCCACCAAAGCGGATGCCCTCGCGAAACGCATCAGTGAGGTGATGTCAGAGTTCGTGGAGGTCGGCAGGCCGGAGAGGATGGCCGACCTGCGGATTTCCGGGCTCGACGAGTCCGTCACGACGGAGGAGCTGGTGCAGGCGGTGGTGGAAAAGGGGGGCTGCCAGGCCTGCAGGGTGGAGGTTGGGGAAATACACCCCGGACCGGGAGGCAACGGGTTCGCCAAAATAAGGTGCCCCGTAGATGCCGCGAGAAAGGTGGCGGAGGGCAACAGCCTGAAGGTGGGGTGGAGCCTTGCACGCGTGACGGTCCTGGGCCCCCCGCCTACGCACTGCTTTAGGTGCATGGGCAGGGGCCACGTTGCCGACAGGTGCCCGTCAAGGGAGGATC